GAGGAGGAGGGAGGAGGAGGAGGAGGAGGAGGAGGAGGAGGAGGAAGCGGGTGTGGAATCGGGCCGCGTGGCGCGCCCGCCCACCAGCTCCCGAGAGGAGCCGCGCCATGGCCTGGCCGCGCGGCCAGTGCAGCGGCCGCCGCTCGCCGCGGGCGCCGCTGCTAGAGGGCAAACAATCCACCCCCATAATCGCCACCCCGACAAGCGAGGCCGTTCAGTACTAGTGGAGGCTAGTCCACGAGACACCTTCCACAAGAAACCCAACCCTGAGACCCGAGGACGTCCCTTGAATTTCGACGTGGGAGCGTCACGCTCCCCATGACAAAACCATCGAAACCCAAGAAGCCCGGGGCACCCTGGAGGCAAGCAGGGTGTTTCTTGGCATGGGCCTCCACTGTAGCCACCTCGACAGGCGAGGCCGTTTAGGAAGTAAATGCCCCCAAAGCAGGAATCGAACAAGGCAGGGCTGCTCAGCAAAAACGCCCAAAGCCGTTCCGTGTAAACGCCAATGATCGTGTCCGGGTGGCTTTTCTTCCCTTGAGCTGCGCAGCCCAACAACGGCGCGCGCAATTGCCTCGGCAAAAGGACGCGCCGACCCGGGCGGTGCCCGCCCAGACCCGGACATGCTCGCGTCGTGGGAAAATCAAGACGGGAAAATTTTGGCCAATTTCGGCCCTCGCCGGGCCTCGGGACCGTCAAAAAACGACTCAAGATGAAAAACTGGTCCCGGGGAAAGGGTCGGGACTTTCAGGGACTCCGTAGTGAAAACATCAGGACGTCGCATGTCTAGGGACGTGTCGCCAACAGCAGCATTGTCCGCCGCGAGGGCCCCTGCGTGGTCCGAGGCGCTCCCTGGTGTCGTGGTGGTCTGCCACATCGTTGTGCTGCGCGCAAGGCAAGATAGGGCCTGGTTTGCGCGTGTGTCGCGTCCGATCCATCCCGTGAAAGAGTTCACCAGCCTACACCGATCTGCGCGTGCGTACGGGTCACGTGTGTGAATCGCACATGTGCGCAAGCACATGCCAACACACATACCATCTCGCTCTCTCTCTCTCTCTCTCTCTTTATCGCACACTTTCACTCATGCGTATCAATCAACATGTGTATGCATACCCGTGTGTATGCGTATACTTTGAACACGAATCCACGAGATTCTCGCTACGCGCGCGCGTGCGCGCTTGGCTTCTAGTCGACACCGAAGGCGTTGTCCACAGGCATGACATGAAGCCTTGGACATCAGGGGAGAGGGCCCCAAGCGAAGATCCCCGATCCCTCGTGGGGGCGCGGGGCCTCCCCAAGGGGTTGCTGCGGGCCGTGGGGGCGGGTGGTGGGGGCGCCTGAGAGCGGCGCGGGGCGCGTCGGCCGAGGAGGGCCCTGGAGGCTCCAAGAGTACTCCAAGACAGGCCGAGGACGGCCACACGAGAGCCCAAAGAGGACCCACACCTGACCCAAAGCACTCAAACTCCTACGGGACTGGGGTTCCCATACTTTAAATCGAAGGTGGCGCCAATGAGGGCACACGAGACGCCGAGAAGCAGATGCAGGGGGTGCCCAAGACGGGCTTCCGAAGCCTCATGTTGGGGGTGTCTGGGCTCCGTAGTCGGGCGGGCGTGGACCCGTCTGGACGGGCCTTGGGACGCGGCAGAACGCTCCCCGACCGTCGAGGAACCTTTTGGACGCATTCTGTGGGGTCCGTCTAACGAATATCGTGGGGCGATGCGGTGACCGTCTTGGGCCCATCTGGGGCCGTCGTGGTGCTTCCCTGCTCAGAGCACAACCCTCGCCGGATATTTCCTCATACCCTATGACCAAGACCCGGCAACAACGAACTTCACGGATGGACGATGGCGCCTTGTCGAACCTGGGCTTTCGCTGGACACTTCCGGGCACTTTATGGCTTCCCGCTTTCTTTCTCTTTCGGCGGGAAGGATGGAGCGCACATCCTTTCCCAGCAAAAGGGCCCTCTTCGGCATTGCAAGCCCATGGGGCGCCCGATTTTCAAGGATGCGCGTTCCGAATTTCAAAGGACTGCGTGCGGGCAATTGGAGGGGATTTGGGATAGGATGGCGCATTGCAGTGTCGTTTGCGTATCCAGGGTCTAGTCCACTCCTCTCCCTCTACCTTCCTCCTCCTCGTCTGCCTCCTCCCCTTAATCCTCCTCTACCTCTCGTTCAGAAGCTACGGCTGGGCTCTTCTGGAAACTCTAGTCTGGACGGGTCTCGAATTTCGGCGCGTGCCTTCCCATACTCGACCCCGTCGCGAATGTCTCTATCCGGCCAGCCACAACTGGGGGAGCTTTGTTCCTTACTCCCCTGGGGGAATCCCTCGTGCCGTCGACTCCTCGAGAAGGGTCTCGAAGCCGCTAGATCCCCACGGGGGTACGGACCACAACTTCCCCTGCTGTGGCTGGTCTGCCAATCAGGGACTGGCGGCTTCGGGGCGCTCTGGAAGCGCCTGGGAGCGCTTTAGGAGCGCCTGGGAGCTCCTGGGTGCCCTTGGGAGCATTGTGCCTGGCAAGTCAACTGATTGCCCAGCCCTGGGGCTGCTCTGGGAACGCCCTGGGAGCGCTCTGGGAGCGCTTGGGAACGCCTGGGAACGCCCGGGATCGCCTGGGAGCACCTCCTGGGAGCGCCGTTTGCTCCTGTGGTGTTCCCGAGCGCCCCCAGGCGCTCCCGAAGCGCTCCTACTGCGTTCCCAGGCACCCCCAAGCGCTCCCAGGCGCCCCCAAACGCCCCTGGGGGCGCAGGATTCTCATGGAGCATTGCATCATCTACCTCCTCCCTTGCCCTGATCCCACTGAACGGGTGTCTGGGGAAGGGGCGGAGCGAGCGAAGCCAGCGGAGCCCGCGCCGCGTGCGCCGGGCAAGGTGCCAGTGCGGCCCCCCCCCCAAACACTCACCCGACTCTAAACTTTTCGCCCGAAATCCAAATTCACCTTTCGAGCAGTGGCCACCCCATGCGCTGGCGCTTGGGCGCGGCAGGCTCGAGGGCGCTCGCGCCAGCGCTGGCAGCGCTCGTCGCCCGACTCGCCCTTCGATGCGGGGGGCCCCGTGCGTGAGCGAAGCGTGGCCGAGAGTTCGGAAGTTTTTTTTCGAAACTTGTGCAGGGGCGCGCTGCCCGGGGCCTTCAGGAGATCCCACGCGCAGATGGTGGCCCTCGAGGTGCGCGGAAACATCGCGCATGAGAGCAACGAGCTACAGCCCATCGCAGCGTCGCGCGCTTTGGGGGCCCGGCTGGCCAGGCTGGATGATGTTGGCGCAGGGGTGATTGGGGGGTGACGGAGAAGCATAATGATTAAATGGGACCCTAAACCCTAGAATCGATAACTGAGGGTGGCGCGCCGCCCCGAACGGGGCGCGGGGTGGGAAGATGTAAGGATATCGCGGCCCGAATGCGGAAGCGCCGGAGTGACGCGTCCTTGAGAGATGCACAGCGACGATCGCACACACACACGACATCAACTTCACAACCCCCCATCTCTTTTAGAGAAAGGGTTCCCAACTCGGATAGGAACCGCGGGCGCGATGTGTGATCCCTTAAACCTTAGACCCGAAATTCCCATGCACCTCGTTATGCATCTACCCGCCCACCGCGCATCATTGTCGCCGTCTACGAGAGACAAGGGCTTCTCTGAGATGCTTCGGCACGTGGCCAGAATGGTTCGGTTATGCGGCCCTGGGCTGCCCCCCACTTTGGGGGGTCGCGCTTCGAAGATAAACCGTCTCTGATTCTCGTAGAAGAGAACTTCCTAAACCTGGCGGTCAGAAGCCTTTGACGCTGCTTGTTGCAATCCACATTATGACGCATCTATGTGTATCATGGGGATTCACGCGTAAAACGTGTGCTGGGAGCTCCTGGGACGCCTGGAAGCGCCTGGGGCGCCTGGGAGCGCCTGGGGGCGCATGGGGGCGCCTGGGAGCGCCGGGGAGCACCTGGGAGCGCCTGGGAACGCCTGGGAGCGCTTGGGAACGCTAGGGGGCGTCTGGGAGCGCCTGGGAGCGCCTGGGGGCGCCTTAGGAGCGCCTGGGGTCGCCTGGGAGCGCCTGGGAGCGTCTGGGAGCGCCTGGGAGCTTGTGAGCGCCAAAGACATGTGAGCGCTGGGGAACGCTTGGGAGCGTCTGGGAAGCGCCTGGGAACGCTTGGGGGCGTTCCGGTTTCAGAAACATGCTTTTTGGAACGGTTTGTGATCTCTGGTTGTGCTGAATCTCGCCGTGCCATGCCCTCGTCGAAATTGAGATGGGTGGTGGGCGTTTTCCTGAAGGCGGTTCCCTCAGATGTAGTATTCTCCATGAGCGCGTTTCTGTAGTTTCGGCGACGATGGCCGTCGTGGCGAGGGGCGGGGGCGCGGGGGGGGAATATGATGTAACGCCCCCGCTCCCTTCGCCGCGTGGCCCTGGCGCCGCGCGAGCTTGTTTCGTTTATTTTTCGGGCTGGCGGCCGCCATCGGCCCCGCCCTCCCCCCAGATGACGTCATGTTCCGCGCTGGCGGCGTCCGGGAATGCCTGGGGCCTCCTGGGGGCACATGGGAAGAATGAGATGATGCGGGGGGGCTCGTAGATTCCATTGTCGCTCCTTGGCGATGCTTTTCCAAATCCTATATCGAACGACTTTCGGTGGAATCTACATGCGCCCATTTTGTCATGAGGGTTCCTTATGCATATGCAACGATTGTGCTCTGTTGCACACGGCTGCTGTGGCGCGCGCAGGCACCGTGGTGTAGAGCGCTGTTTGTGCACGCAAGCTCCTGCCGAATTCGCGCGCGCGACGACGATGAGCGACGAGCGACGATCGACGATGGCGGCAACGACTGCGGACCAGACCTCTATGCGGATTCCTGTGCGGACGCCAGCGCGGATCCTGGGGGGCGGCCGCCCCGGGATTCGCGACGCCACCGCGCGGCCAAAACGGTCTGAGGGGCCTCAAGATTGCCCGGGGAGCCGGTGTGAAGGTTGAACTTGAGGCAGCCGTCGGCGCAGTGGCTGGCGGGGAACTTCGCGTCCAAAGCCCCCGTGTCTAGCGCGCCCTGTTTTCCCGTTCTGGTCTCGTAGTGCTGCGCTACCTCGGCTCGCGCGCTGGCGTACTTCTCCAGCCTGGGCGCGTTGAACTGCAAGTGTTTCTCCAGCTCCTCGGGCGCCATGACCTCCAAGGCCGAGGCAAGAAAGTCGTCGGCAATCTGTGCCTCAGCTTCTGCGCCTTCTCGTTGTAGCTGGTCACCATGGCCTCCCAGGTCTGGAATGCCCACCTGAGATCTTCGATCTTCACCTTGCAAGGTGACATGATCGCCCTCAGGAGTGTCTGGCACCCCCCGCCGCTCAGCGAGTCGAAGCGCCAGTGAGCAGCCGCCAAGCTTCCAAGCCATTTCCCGCGCAGCTCTGCACGATCGCCACGCCTCGCCCTCTGTGGTGCTGGCAAAGACGGCCTTGAACTGCTGGTTGAGAGGACCTTCATCCCTTCGATGAAATTGTCGTCTGCGCCTCCGAACTGGAAGTCCACGTCGTTCATGCTGACTGGGTCGTCTTGGTCCAAGGCCCAGTCCAGCGCGCGACCCAGCAAAGGCTCTACACCGCACAGATAGTCCTCTATCTTGCGGGTCTACTTCGGGGGCCTGGATTCATCCCCTGCGAATGTCCAGTGTTTCCCGATGGCCTTCTGGTCCACCAGCTTCGGCCTCTCGCGCCACGCGAGGGCCTTCGTCTGCTCCATGAGCACAGATACCGGTTGCTGCAGCACCTCAGTGGTCGCGGGCGCTGCCGCCGCTGCATGGCTCTGCTGAAGACCCCCAATACGGTTCTGCTGTTGTGTCACTGTGGTCTGAAGCTGCTGGTTCTCTGTCTGGAGCAACCAGAGCTGCCCCGTGACCTCCTGAAGCTGCGCCTCCACTGCTCGCAGCGCTGCCTCGGCCATTTCACTCTTGGCTGAAACCCTCTCTCTTGACCCTCTGGGCGCCGTGCCCGTCCGAAGGTTGTCCGCAGCGCTTCGGCCTTGCGCGCAAGACGCCCATTGGGCCTGGCGGACGAGTCGGGCTACGCCTCTCTGCGCCTGCCCCTCGTTCTCCTCATGGATCCAACCGCGCGCGCCTCCTGCGCTCGCGCCGTGGTTGCTCCACGCACGCCAATCGCGGAAGGTACATACACCTAAACACACATTTAGGTAACGCTGACACAACATACATACTGACATAATTACTGAACCAAACGGACACATGCGGTATCTTGGCGCCAGAACCTACAACACTAACAACGAAGCCACACATCAACGTATTTGTGGGGCCCAACTTTGGGGCACTGTCAAGCAAGCGTATGCGAGAGCATGGGAACACACAGCGATCAACACCACGGCAGCTCAAGGTATGTGGAAACCTTATCACAAGCAAGGTTTTTTTTTTTTTTTTTTTTTTTTGTGTGTTTTTTTTGTCTCTCTCTCTCTTTCTCTCTCTTTCTCTTTTTTATTTTATTATTATATATATATATATATATGAAAAATAAGATCGGCATTGCGGACCGACAAAAAGGGCGAGGATTTGATGGATGCCCAACCCAATGTCCCAATCGAATTCTCAACATTCCGCACGTTTGAGAATCAAGAATTTCTCACAACATCGCTTCTGAAAAAGCCAGCGTACCAACATACAGCACGATAGTATTGAACCACAAGTTGGCTTGGTTTGGCAAAATTGGGCGTTGCAGTGTCAACGACGTGCTGCGAGAATGAACGTTTCAACCAGGGGCGTGAAACCAGCCACAGACTTGCGTGCTCGATCGATAACGAAAGGGCAACAACCTTATACATAAAAACAAAGTTCGTTCAACGCAGAACCAAACCTCTTGATTTGCATCGCCGACGATTGAAAACTAATCGAACTTATTACTCGTGTTTCTTTGAACAGTCTTCCGAACGACGAAGATTGGTTGTAAACTTATATGCCCTCGGTGCACTGATAGGCGAACTATTCATCAATTCGTCATCGTCGTCATTTGCATTTGCCTCAACTCCTGCTCCCAGCGCGGTTTTGGTGAGTCTGGGCTGTCCAGGCACGCGTTTGGCGCGTCCTTTGGCAGCTTGGGCACGCGATTGGCATGTTGTAAGAATGATCACCTCTGTTCTGGCCCACGCGCATTTGGACGCGCACTTGGCGCATGGCTGCTTCGTTCGTTCGGTTCGGCTCGGTGCAAAAGGTATATATATATGTATATATATACATATATATATATATTCAATACCGTGTCATATTCTAAGGTACCGCCTTGCACCACATGCTGGACAACGGGTCGGAAAAGGCTCCCAATCCTGGACCGACAGAATTTCGACCGGGCGGTGCAACTCTTGGGGCTTGAAGCACCAAACGAAAGACTCACGGACGGAAATGAAGATCGACAACAACGCTCACCTAACCCACAATATCAAGCACTGCATCGAACACGTGAACCATTACGGAAACAACCACAACCACCACCTACTACCATACCACACGGTCCGCCTCCTCTCCCCCATCCAGCCAACGCAACTCCTTATCCATTTGTTCACCCTAATTATCTCCCTGCCCGCCCCTATCCCCCTACTCTTGGTCCAGGACCGCTGTCACCTGGCCGGGCTGAATGCGACCCGCCATCCGACTGGCCTCAGGCCTCCAACGCCCCCCCCCGGGCCTCAAGCTTTTGGGGCTGAAGACTCCGCCATTTCATCCCTTTCCCCTGCACTCCACCTGGGCTTGCACCCCTTCCCGACGATCCCATGCCTCCCCCTACCGAACCCTTCAATGGCGGCGGCAGACATGAGGGCCCTGCCCCGCCGACTCCATTAACCCCGCCCCTGGATACACACCAAAACGGCATATCGATTCCAGCCGCAGCAGGCGGTCCTCTCGCGTGGGGTGTGGGTGACATGAGCGACATCAACAACGTAGAGGGCGATGATGGCGGCCCGAATGGAATGACCGACGACGAAACTGATAACGCCTCCCTAGCTCACCCAATATCCACAATATCCCCAACAGCCTGCCCTTCTGGGAGCGAGCGATCCACTGGAAGAAGGGCGGCGCCCAGCTCCCACATGTGATGCCCTTCTGGCTTCCAGGGGCCCCCAAATCCGCAGAGCTCTTGATGCCGTAGGCCTGGGTCCACGACCTACGCAACCGTTGCCGACGATTCCGGCGCATGCCCCAACGAGCTTGGGACCAGCTGCCAGCCTCTAGAGGATTGTCCGACACTTGACCAGGGAACGACGTCCAGGCATTCTTATAGGCTTACCACGGCATGTTCTTAGAACGAAAGAGCGTTCTAATAACAAAACCAACGTTCGTATAACATAAAGCCAGTGTATGAAATCAAGACAATCTCACCGATACATGTTCTGAGAACATTACGTGCAAACCACAACAAGTCCTTCGAACATTCTTTCGTCGGCCTATGGGCAAGCCGGGACCCTTCGCAACTGCGCGAAACACCGTCCAAACGACATTTTCGACGAGGACAGCTACGGCACGACACCAGAAGCGGGCGGAAAAGACGCCCCTGCACATCCAGGTAACGGTTCGTCCAACACCCGACATGTACGAAACAACCATCAATGTATCGAGGATCGTGTCTTTGACCCCAATCTGCACAAAATGTACAGATATTGACGACTGCGTCCAGCATCCGCAATGGTCTATACCCGACATGCTCATGTCCTGGATGGCTTCGGGGGCAAACATCGACAACATGTTGATTAAGGCTCCCGGGTTGCTGGCGGCACTCCGACGCCATCGACATCCGAGCAACCACGACGACTGCAGTATGCATCTGGGTGCCATTCCTACGACTCCTCACGCAGAGCTTCGTCGAGATCGACCGGCCGCATCAGTGCTGGGATGCGCACAGCAATGGAAAAGGGGACTGTCTTCGAGCCTGGGCATTTTTCTTGCTCGTCCCCCGGCTGCATCTTCATCCCGCAGCCCATGGAAGCCACGTGGGCGAGCGATATCTACACCGACGCATTACCATGGAAGAGATGGCGGAACAATATCTGAATCCAATGAGGATCAATCTCTGACCATTGTCCGGCTCAAAATACGCCCATTCTAAATCAATCTTCTTTTTTTCGTGGCAACATCATCGAACCACGAACACCTGGCATAAGACCTCACCTGCAAAGCAAGGAGCGGTGGAACATGATTGGGTGAAACAAGACTGGCCGTCAAGCAGTCCACCAGGGACAAACCAAGGGATACGAATGGGATGCTACCCAGTTTTCCTGGAAGGAGACCTAGTGGCAAAGGTGCCAGGAGGAGGACGATATTTCAGTAGGCACATGTGAAGCTCGTAATGGATCTCAAACGAGGTAGGGAGAGCCACGCCGACACTGACAGCTGAGTGGCCAGCACAAAGACGATGTAGGGTAGATGAATCAATGATACGACTGGTGAAAAAGACTATGCACTTTCTGGCGCATCCCTTTCCGCGTCCGGGTCTAAGGCATGAGTCCAGCGTGCAATGCGCAGCTAATGCGGGCCAAGAGCAATTGTTCACGATCCCGCCGCACATGAGAAGACACAATCGGTGAGAAAGATGGGGCCAGGTGGGGTCAGCGACGCCGGGGCAAGGGCGTGAAACAAGGCAGTGCTGCAGTATCACATTCGCTCTCTGTTGAACTTAATGGTCTCCTGCGGCGGCGAGGCTCAACGCTGCAGCGCGAGAGACTCCCGATGGCGACAGCGCTCTTACGTCGAGCACGGCGCGCATGGAAGCCAGAGCAGAACTACACCTTGCACGCGCCATGCATTGGGACTCGCCCTGGGACATCCTGTCAAGGTGCATGCGTGCCCTGCGGTCAACGAGCTCGCAGCTGCAAAACAAATGCGTGCACGCACGGCAAAACATAGCGCCAACGTGCAACATGCGCAGCATCCAAAGGCGGACAACTCTCACACATCTCAGCGGCTGGCTCTTTGGGATGATCGCGGGTGCACGTACACTCTGGAATTTGACGCACTTGCAGACACCACACGACACGCACTCAGCCCCACGACAACCGCAACTGCGCTTACATCGATGGAGGTGTGTCGGATCACTGCTTCGTCGTTGTGTCGATAGATGAGGTCCCCCAACGCATCGATGTAATTTTTCACTATCTCCGCCAAATTCATGCACTTTTGGCTTACATTCAAATCGTGGGATCCCTTGTATGCGATGCCCCTCCCGCCCCCCCGTCCGGCCTCCCCCTCCTGCCCCGGCGAACCCACCCCCTCTCCTCCAGGGGCCCCCTTCCCAAGCGGCGGTGGCGGCCTCGTGTGGCCGCGTCACGCAACAACTCATGACGCCTCCTCTTCCCTCTCCACCTCCTCCTGACTGCTTCGAATCTGGACCCTCCGCCTCCGCCACCTCCTCCCTCCGCATGCGGGTCGCCTCCCTGGACTTGCATCCTGTGGTCGCCGGCTGTGCTCGCGCCAGTTGCTGCCGGACGCCCCCGCGGCTCTCGCGCAAGCTTCGCCCAGAGACTTCCCCAGCGGGGCCAGGGCATCGGGCCACGGACTCCGCAGCCGCTCCAGGCTCCTTTGCGGTATCCGCTTGACCCCCAAGCGGGGAAACGCGTCCTCCTATCCCTGGTCCATGCTGTCGCCTGGAGGGCGCCATCCAAACGCTGGTCGTGGCCAGGCATACCCTGGGCCAAGGATCGGTGCAGACCCTTCGTGGCCAGGCCCGGAGCGGGGGGCGCATGCGCAGATGGTCTGAATGGGGCAGGTGCCGGTGTGCAGCTCTCGTCGGACGTGCGGGTCGTCGTGGTCATGGTCGTGGTCGTGGTCGTGGTCGTCGTCGTGGTCGTGGTCGTGGTTGTGGTCGTCGTCGTCGTCGTCGTCGTCGTGGTCGTGGTCGTCGTCGTCGTCGTCGTCGTCGTCGACGTCGTCGTCCTGTGGTCGTCGTTTTGGTCGTGGTCGTTGTCGTCTTCGTCGTGCTCCTTGCTGCCGCCGCCGCCGTCCGGCGGAGCGGCGGGGCGGGCGCCCGCGCGCGCCTGCCGCGCGGGCACCGGGTAGTGCGCCAGGCGCATCCCGGCCATGGAGGGCGGCCTGTCCTCGCGCGGGCCCGCGCGCGCGGGCCTGGTCGCGCGCGCGCAGGGGCTCGCCGGCCGACGCTGGGCGCCTCTCCTGTGCTCGTTCGAGGAGGGGGGGGGACAGAGCAGAGGGTCTGCGTGCCAGCTCTGGCAGCTGGGGCGGTCTCCTGAGGGGCAGGCATACATTAAGCAAGGGGCAACTGTGCGTCTGGTGCAACGCGCATAAGGGGGCCAGCTCACGCATCCAACGAGCCCCTCCATCTCCAGCGAGAACTCCCGATGGACGCCGTGATTCTGGACGGAAGCCAGGCGAGGAGGGGGGGGTCAACCACAGCGGGCACACAAATACCGTCGAGGCGTTGACCTAAGGAACCCTAAATAAGGAACGAGGCCCCTTTTTTCCATGAGTTAAACTTCGATTTCCGATCGAAAACATAAGGAAAACTTGAGGCAAACTGCGAAACAATTAAGGAACACGGAGCCCCTCCCCAACCAAAAGGGTTCCTTCTTCAGGGCCCCGACTGTACATCAAGCAAGGGGCAACAGTGCAGCTGGTGCCACGCGCACAAGGGGGCCAGCTCACGCATCCAACGAGTCCCTCCATCTCCAGCGAGAACTCCCGATGGACGCCGTGATTCTGGACGGAGGCCAGGCGAGGAGGGGGGGGGGGCAACCACAATGGGCACACACAATTACGGTACGAGGTCGTGCCGTGAGGACTCTGGGGACACGTCCTCTGTCGATCTCCGAGGGCCCCAGGGTGCCCTGGAGCTTCTGCAGGTCCCTGGGACCATCGTGGGACAAGAAGCTTCCGTGGGGTACCTTCTGGCCGGTCGATTTTTGACCGGATGCGTCGCCGCGCCGACACCACGGCAAACCCAGGGCACGCCCTGCGCCTCGCGCCCCAGGCAGGCGAGGCCAGCACCGCGGCAGACCCACGGCAAGCCCTGCGCGCCCGAGGCGACGGCTGCCTTGGTGGCGTGGCCGAGGCGCCCTCCCCAAGGCGCGAGACCGCGCGTCGGAGCAAACGGCGCGGCGGCATGTGCCCTCAGCAGGACGACGGGGCTCGAGAGGCGAGGGCACGAGGCCTTGGACGCTCTCGGCTCCTCTGAGGCCTGCCAAGGGCCTCCAGCGGGGCCTCCAGAGGCTTCCGGGGACCTCCGGAGAGGCTGGGCGCACAAGCGGGATGCGCGGGGACTGCCCAGTCGCTCCACAGCGCTCAGACACCCTGCAGACCTGAAGACCTGGCAGGGCTGCTTGAAGCCTCAGCTGGAGCTTGAATTCAAAGGTCCTGGCGACGACTTTCCAGTGCCAGATCGTCCGACGACATTGTTGCTTCAGTCCGCGGCCCTAGAGGTGCCGCCCATGTTGCCCTGGGGAAATTCTTCGCCCCGGATCCGTGAGGCCGAAGTCGAGGAAATACGCCGGGATTGAAACAATCGTACCTCCAAAGACCTAGGAGGTCAGGGATCGAGGTGGACCTCCCTCTCCCGGAGCCTGGGGCCGTCAGTGGGCGCGACGTCCGAAGCGGGCGCGCACCCAGGAGGGCGGAGGGCTCCTGAACTCGCTGGCGCGTGAGGGCGCCGTTGCCGTCGCCGTCGTGGTCGTCGTCGTCGTCGTCGCCGTCGTTGTCGTGGTCGTGGTCGTGGTCGTGGTCGTCGTGGTCGTCGTCGTGGTCGTGGTCGTGGTCGTTGTCGTCGTGGTCGTCGTGGTCGTCGTGGTCGTCGTGGTCGTCGTGGTCGTGGTCGTGGTCGTCGTCGTCGTGGTCGTCGTGGTAATCGTCGTCGTACGTGCCGCTGCTCGGGGTCGTCGGCGCGTCGCTGTCGCCGTCGGCTTCTGCTCGGGCTCTGCCTTTGTCGTTGTCGGCGGTGCTCCAGGTTCTGGCTTCTCCCGTGAACGGCAACCACGGCCGCCGCCCTCTCCTACGCCTCCTCCTCCTGGAACCTCCCGCGCCCTGTCCTGGTCCCGCTGCTCCCTCCTCCCGAGGCACGCCACGGCCAGTCCCGCGCCCCGTGCTCGTCCGCTCGTGCATGCCTCGAGCCGCAGCAGGGGCGTGCAGGGGGGCCCACGACATCTGGCGGCTGCATGCTTCCAGGCATGGGCCCCCCAGGGTCGCAACCCCTTCCCCAGGGCAGGATCAACCAGCATCGATCCGGGAAATCGGATCGAATCGAAACGTGAGCCGGACCAGGCTGCATCGGCACGGAATCGAAATCGAATCCAATCACCCGCACCACTGTGCACAACAACGCCATTCAAACATCGAGCCGCATCGGATCGTCGGAACGTCGGAATCGAATCGGATCGGGCCGCCCAGACTCGACCTGTTCTCTCGACGTCCGCGGGCTCCAGCAGCCCAGGCAACAGAGAGAGAGGCTCGGGTACCCAAGCTGGCCCACCCGATTCTTCTCTGAGCCCCAGGAGGCCTCGGGAAGAGGGACTCCCCATCGCTCGGACGTCCCTTCTCTGTGAATTCTTCGATTTCGTGCGCTTATTTTTTCGCAGGGTGGTCAAGCTGCTCGTCGATGGTCCCCGCCGAGTCCAAGCGATGCCAATGTGACCGTAGAGGGCGGTCGGAGCAGGGGCAGCGGAGGGATTAGCAGGAGCTCGTGCCCTGATCGCTCCATCGATCCGTCGGCCATACGCCAGTCCGCCGCGCTGGAGCCCGGACCAAGGTGCCACACGGCGAAGCCAGGACGACGGTAAATTCGGGTGAGGATAAATCGAGAACCCCTGAGATCTGGCGGCTCTGAAGGATGCATCGGGCGTCGCGGCCTTCTCAGAGCGTGCTCCGGAACGCTCTGGCACGGATTTCATCCTCGTCCTCGCCCCGTCCAGTGCCAAGCGACCCTCGACGGTCGAGGGTGGATGTCTGCGGACGTTTCTGACCTTGTCAGGCCTCTGGAAGCCTCTGCGGGGGCATCCGGGGGTCAGGATCCGGGGCGGCAGTCAGACTTACAAGAGAGGAGCTGGGGGAAGGCTTTTTCCCAGCCCTCGTGTGTTGAACTGGGTCCTCGTTCTGATTCCGCAGCGCGACGCGTCTCCTCACCTCACCTCCCCATCCCCCCTTTCCTTCAATGCCTCCGTTCTCCGCACGCCCTCTGCTTCTCCTTGCCTCTGCTCTCTGCATGTGGATTTCGACACACGCCTCGAACGCTTTGCGGCTCCATAGGGAACTCCTCTGAAGGCCTCAGCGGCAGCGCCCGCATGCTGGGCAAGTCCAGTTCGGCACACCCCTCACATGTCGCTTGTTCCTATAGGAAGCTCCGCCGACGGCTCAGTGGCGACGCAGGTCGCCTGAGCAAGTCCATGTCGCGACACCCCCCACACGCTCGGTGGCCCCACGAGGATCTCCACCGGAGGCCCTAAAGTCCATTTCGGCACGCCCCTCACACGCTCACACGCTTCGTGGCTACGTGGGGAACTCCACCAAAAGCCCCACGGGGCCGCCGCGCCCAGCTCGGCACACGAACTGCCCTCCATAGATGCCCGAAGATGTTCAAAACCTCCTCAGTCCTCTATCCTCCCGCCCGCTCGACCCTCGACCTGCTCCCCAGGAGGAGGTGGTGACAATGACAACACCTCTCCGCGGGTGGTGACAATCCCTGAGGTCTGACGTTGCAAACGACTTGCCGCATCGCGAAAAATCGCGACCGCAGCCCCGGACCCCTTCTTCCTGCTTCGTTGAGCCGGACCGATCGGTCAAGGTCCCAGGTCCCCAACACGGGCGACAACGCCCGTTGTGAAAGAATCCCGCCGGCCCTCTGGGCGACAGGTGGTCCAACGAGGGGGGCCTTTCCTCTTCCATGGCTCCTCTTCCCTTCGGGGGGGGAACCCTTCCCCCTCCCCATCCCTGGATTTTTTTTTGGGAGGGGGCCCGATGTGTCAGAGGGTCTTTTTTCGGCCCCTGGGATGGTCACTTTTTGACACCCCTCACGAAGATCGTGGCCTATGAGGGGGGGGAGCTACATTTCGGATCCCCCTCTTTTGACCGACCGCCTCCAAGATGGCCCCCAGAAGCGCTCCAAGGGCTCCCAAGAGGCCCCCGAGAGGGCTCCAGAAACGCCTAAGAGAGGCCCTAGGAGGCCTCCAAAAGGCGCCTGAGAGGCACCCAGGAGGCCCCCGAGCGGCCTCAGATAGTCCAAGATGATTTCTAATATATGGCTCAATATAGTTCATGCTGGCTCAAGATGGCTCCCAAGATGCTCCAAGATGGCTTCAGAGGCCCCGAGACCGTTCCAAGACGGCTCGATCTGGCCACGGAGCCCCCCAGGAAACCACCAAGAGGCCGCCGCCCTCGCTGTTTGACTATGCGTGTCTCTTCCTTCCTCCCCCCGACAGTTCTCATGGGCATCGTTTCTAGATGGGCTGGTGGGGGTACTTTTTGGTACGCGGGCGCGCGAAGCTAGTCGAACGCCAGGCACGCTGGGGCGGGCCGCGCCGTAGCGAAGGAAAAAAACAACACGGATGGGGATATTTTTTTCGCGGCCGCAAGCGGAAACGCAGGCGGCGTCCGAAGTCAGCCCGGGCTACGAGCCAAACCTACTTACCCAAGCGCGCGAACTAGCGGCCGCCGAAACTGCCGCCGAGGGACGCCGAGGAGCGACGCTGGGGACTGAAGGCAGAGCCGCAAGAGGTGCCAGGTGTGCCAGGCGGCTGAAATGCAACCATTCCTGGGGCGAGACCACCGGGAAGGCAAACGAATTGTACCTTGTCGCGCCAGGCCCCAGAGGTAAACGAGCCACCCGAGCAAAGCACGACATAGCGTGGGGCTGAGCAAGCAGCCCAGCGTACCTGTGTCTCACGCCGACAGTGGCAACCTCAGGTGGTTGAACAAGAAGGCTAAACCACTCATGAGCAATCCACGTGACTGGTGTGGATACGCGAAGCGTCAGGAGTTGCAACGCCAAGATCTGAGGGACCCTCCTTTGCAGGTGGTCGTCCCCCTGGGCAGGTGGTGCCCCCCCCCCCCCTCCCCCGAAAGGCGACCCTGCTCGACACTCGCTGAGATACAGAGTGCTGAAAGGAGAGCGCTTGCCCTGGTCGCACCACGGTCAACTACCTGTGTCACCCGGCCGCGCACCGCGCGCGCGCGTGAGACGCCCGCCCGCGGGGCTGCCGCGCGCGCCAGGGCTGGGCCAGGCCGCGGTGCCGACGCGCACAGGGACGGGAGAAGGAGTGGAGGAGGAGGAGGAGGAGGAGGCGGAGAAGGAGGAGGAGGAGGAGGCGGAGGAGGAGGAGGAGGAGGAGGAGGGGGAGGAGGAGGAGGAGGAGGAGGAGGAGAAGGAGGAGGAGGAGGAGGAGGAGGAGGAGGAGGAGGAGAAGGAGGAGGACGGAGGGGAGGAGGAGGAGGAGGAGGAGGAGGAGGAGGAGGAGGAGGAGGAGGAGGAGGAGGAGGAGGAGGAGGAGGAGGAGGAGGAGTAGGAGGAGGAGGAGGAGGAGGAGGAGGATGGGGAGGAGGAGGAGGAGGAGGAGGAGGAGGAGGAGGAGGAGGAGAAGAAGGAGGAGGAGGAGAAGAAGGAGGAGGAGAAGGAGGAGGAGGAGGAGGAGGAGGAGGAGGAGGAGGGGGAGGAGGATGAGGAGAGAGGAGGAGGAGGAGGAGGAGGAGGAGGAGGAGGAGGAGGAGGAGGAGGAGGAGGAGGAGGAGGAGGAGGAGGAGGAGGAGGAGGATGGGGAGGAGGAGGAGGAGGAGGAGGAGGAGGAGGAGGAGGAGGAGAAGGAGGAGGAGGAGAAGAAGGAGGAGGAAGAAGGAGGAGGAGGAGGAGGAGGGAGGAGGAGGAGGAGGAGGAAGCGGATTCGGAGGAGGAGGAAGCGGATTAGGAGGAGGAGGAGGGGGAGGAGGAGGAGGAGGAGAAAGGAGGGGAGGAGGAGGAGGAGGAGGAGGAGGAGGAGGAGGAGGAGGAGGAGGAGGAGGAGGAGGAGGAGGAGGAGGAGGAGGAGGAGGAGGAGGAGGGAGGATGATGAGGGAGGAGGAAGAGGAGGAAGAGGAGGAGGGAGGAGGAGGATATGCCGACGAAAGAAGCCGCGACCTCGGGTTTCAGCAACCAGTCGCAAAGCAGAGGGGCGGTTGTGGGCGGTCGTCGTCTTGGCACGAAGCCAACGGTTCCCAAGGGCAACGGGTCCTCGACCCCGTGTCCTGGACCCGGGGGGCCTCCCGGGGGCTTCGTCCCGAGTCGCTTTCTCGAAGGTCCCAGGGCCCGAAATTAGGGAGGACCCCAGGAGCTTGAAAAAGGGGAACCACATGGCGATCGTCGGAAGACAGGGGAATGGGGTCGTCGTCGCAGGTAAGACGGGACGGTCGACGGTCGTCGTCGGCAAAGAAGGGCCCAGCGCGGAGGCGGGCTCGGATGCTGAACTGCACTATTGCCAAGGGGGTCGACGAGCAGAAACATAACATTTCTTGCGCGCAGCGGATCCGCGAACTTAAGCGGCGGCTTGCGCGGGCCGCTTCCACGGCACGCCGCGTGGAAAGAAAGGGCCGCGCAACCTTACGCGGGCAACTTGCACGCGAATGTCAGCGCAATCGACCCCGTGTGTCTGCGCCGCTCACCTGCACCTCACGCGTCGGACTGGATGTACCTGTTCGCGACGTTCGGGATGTTGACGATTCAGGCCTCGAGCCCATCTGTGGTCGCCATGGCCCCCCTTGACCAACGGAGCATCGTGTTCGGCAGTCCGCGTCCGCCCCTCTGGCAGGTCCATCCGCCTCGAGCACTGCTGCCATCGCTGCTGCCGTCGAGGAACAAGTCCAACACAAAGATCAGGCACGCGGCGCCTGCCTTCAGACCAGCAACATCTCTGTGCGCTGCCTTCCCCTGGCACAAGCCGTCGCCGCGCCCATGCCGCCGCCGCGCCTCCTCGTCGTGTGGGGCGATAGACTCCGCAAGGGCCAGCCGTCCATGCAGCTCGCGAGCGGACGGCTGGCGCAAGCTCGCGCCGGGAATCTGCAAGACGAGGTCGCCCGCCGAGGAGCCGTCTGGCGAGGCGGGCCCGCAGCGCAGCGCGGGTGGTGGGGGGGGCCATCAGCGTGGCGCCCACAGAAGCTGCCGCCGCCGCGTCACGCGTCAGACCAGCGCGCCGTTGGCAGCTCTCGCCGCGCCGTGCACCGCCAATGGCGGGCTTGCGGCCCAGCGCTGGCCTTCCCTGGACTATCGTCTTGCCCTCTGGCTTGCCTGCGCAGCGGCAGTGGAATGTGACCCTGGTGTAGAAGCTGCCGCGCTACGAGTCGTAGAGAGGCCAATGCTGAAGCGGCCGCTCCGCGTTCGCGGGGCGCGCGCTGGAGCCGTCGGGGGCGCTCCCGAGGGCGCTCCACACCGTCGCGAGTGCCGGGTCTGGGTGCACGGAGGCGAAGGCAGACTGCTCGTCTCGCTCGCTGCTCGGGGAGGGCGCCTGGGGAGTCCACAAGGGTTCAGGGCGGGCACAGGCCTCTTCAATGGTTGGAATGTGTCAACACGTGTCTTGAAGGTTTTGTCTTTGAACCGCGCTGCATGACTGATGCACACGAAAACCGAATTGGGGGCGGCCGATATATCGTGCGCGGCCTCCGTCTGCGTGGTGAAAAAGGGTGAGGGGCTGGTGCCGCTGCTGTGACTGTCGCCCCGTCCGAGTGCTGCACACTTGCTGTTTGCCCGTGCGTACCACTACGTGCCACTGCAAATCCGACGTGCCCGCGACCCGCCCGCGACACACTTGCAAACAAACACGGCCAACCGCGCCCTGTCTGCAACAGACTTGCGGTACACTTACGCGTGCATGTGGGCTAATGCGTTCGAGCTGTTGTGCCTGTGAGGAATCGAGCGCCTGTGGTGGGAGGTGGGACGATTGTATTTGCGACATGTCTGCGGAAGGATCGGCCACGGAGCGTGCGGGTTGCTTCGTGTGAATGTTTTCCTGTTCGGCTCAACATTGGGCGGGAGGGGGGGGGAGGGGGGGGGTCTGGCTCCGGACCTCTGCTTACAAAACTATGAATAAGAAAACGATCGCCTTTTGTGGATGAATCTGGTTGTTGCAATACTGCGTGCCGTTCTTCCTCGCCCGTGGCTTTGAGCCCGTGCGAATCTTCTCGCGAGTGTTAGCGCCTGCGGGCGGCTGAGTTCGGAGCGTGGTACGTTCTTGCATGTCCTGTTTTTCGCCGTGCTGCGGATTGCTGCAACTGCTGGCCCGCGCACTGTTACCAGTGTTTGAAAACAACAGTGTAACACATTCGAATGAACCTGACACGACCCCAATCAGGGGAAGCTTGCTATTGCATCGGCGCAGTGCTTGGCATTGCTTGGCATTGCTTGGAACGGGCACAGTGAGAATACGAGGCACCGGGGGCGGGGGACCTGGGGAACCTGGGGAACCCGAAGAACCCGTGGAACCCATGGAACCCGAAGAACCGGAACCCGGGGAACCCGGGGAACCCGGGGAACCCGAGGAACCCGGAGAACCCAGGGAACCCAGGGAACTGGGGGAACCCGAGGAATCTCTGGGGAACGGGCAAAATAAGCGCCCAATGCACCAACCTTTCACCACGCAGGACCCAATTAGCAAGCCTAATTGGGGAATCTGTGTGTGTATATATATATCTACCAGGGCCTGGCCCGGGGGGTTCCCAGTTCGAGCCGGCGCCGAAGACGCTATTTGAAGACGCTATTCTGACGCCTCTATTTCGCTGACGCCTGGTGAAGCTTGTGACGCCTCTATTCGGCCTGAAGCCTCTTTTCCGTTGACGCTCATTGAAGCTCGTGAAGCCTCTATTCGGCCTGAAGCCTCTATTCGGCTCGTGACGCCTCTATTCGGCCTACGAATTGCGACGCACTGGTGGGGTAGCGACCCTAAACGCGCCTATTCGGCCTGAACCCTTTATTCCCCTGGCGCCCATTGAAGCTCGTGACGCCTCTATTTGGCCTGAAGCCTCTATTCGCCTGGCGCCCGGTTAAGCTCGTGAAGCCTCTATTCGGCCTGAAGTCTCTATTAGTCCCTGACGCCTGGTCAAGCTCGTGAAGCCTCTATTCGGCCTGAAGCCTCTATTCCCCTGACGCCCATTTAAGCTCGTGAAGCCTCTATTTGGCCTGAAACTTCTATTCCCCTGACGCCCGGTGAAGCTCGTGAAGCCTTTCTTCGGCCTGAAGCCTCTATTCCCCAGGCTCCAGGTGAAGCTCGTGACGCCTCTATTCGGCCTGAAGCCTCTATTCCCTTGACGCCCATTGAAGCTCGTGACGCCTCTATTTGGCCTGAAGCCTCTATTCCCCTGGCGCCCGAGGAAGCTCGTGAAACCTCTCTTCGGCCTGAAGCCTCTATTAGTCCCTGACGCCCGGTCAAGCTCGTGAAACCTCTATTCGGCCTGAAGCCTCTATTTCCCTGACGCCCGGTGAAGCTTGTGACGCTTCGCAAGGTTCGTGCCCCAGGGGAAGGCAAATATATAAGCAATTACGTAAAACGCGAAAGATTCGTGCCCCTGGAAAGGGATCGTGCCCCAGGAAAGGGCCAATCACGCCAAGGATTCGTCCCCCATGATACGACCACTCTATCAGCACGCACGTGAAGCACGAATTATTCGCGCCCTAGGAGAGGGTCAACCTATAGGCACATACGTAAAACACTAAGAGGATTGGTGTTCCAAGGAAAGGCCGATCTATTGGCATATGCGTTAAACACAAAAGGCTTCGTGCCCCAGGGGAAGGCAAATCTATATGCACACACGTAAGACACGAAGGATTCGTGCTCCAGGAGAGAGCGAATCTATATGCACATGCGTAAAGCACGAAGGGCTCGTGCCCCAGGAGAAGGCAAATCCCTAGGCACATACGTAAGACACGCAGGGCTCGTGCCCCAGGGGAAGGCAAATCTATTAGCAAATGCGAAAACCAAGAAGGATTCGCGTCCCTGGAAAGGGCCAATCTAAAGGCATACGCGCGAAACACAAAGGACTCGTGCCCCAGGAGAGGGCCAACCTATATGCACATGTGTAAAACACAAAGGATTCGCGCCCTAGAAGAAGGTAAATCTCTAGGCATCACGTAACACGCTAAGGATTCGCGTTCCATGATACGGTCAATATATAAGCACGCACGCAAAACACTAAACATTCGTGCCCCGAGAGTAGGCCAATCTATAGGCACATGCGTGAAACACTATAGACTCGCGCCCCAAGAAAAGGCCAAGCTATTGGCACATACGTTTAACACAAAGGATTCGCACCCCAGGACAGGGCCAAGACAGCTCCAGGAGGCACCGGGAGGGGCCAGCCCCAGGAAGCCCTGGTGAGCTCCGGGAGGCCCCAGGAGGCTCCAGGGGCTCACCGGGCTTTCTTTTTTTTAATGGTTCTTTTTTAATCAACTAGGCGAGGGCTCTTGTCTATCAGAGGGTGCCGCACAGCAAAGGGCCATGTCTAGCACCAAGGATTCTTTTTCAATCAACTTGGGGGGGGTCTTGACTAGCATAGGGTGCCACCCAGCAAAAGGCATGCCTAGCACCAGGGATTCTGTTCTAATTAACTTGGGGAAGGGTCTTGCCTAGCAGAAGGTGCCGCGCAGCAAAGGGGCTCACCTTGGAGGGGGTGCCGTACAGCAAAGGGGCACATCTAGCACCAATGATTCTTTTTAAAACAACTTGGGGAGGGGTCTTGCCTAGCAGAAGGTGCCGCACAACAGATGGGGCACGCCTAGCACCAATCATTCTTTTAAATCAACTTGGAAAAGGGCACTTGCAGATCAGAAGGTGCCGCACAGCAAAGGGGCATGTTCAGCACCAAGGGTTATTTTTAAATTAACTTGGCAAGGGGTCTTGCCTAGCAAAGGTGCCGCACAGCAGAAGGCATGTTTAGCACCAGGGATTCTGTTTTAATTAACTTGGGGAGGGGTCTTGCCTAGCAGAGGGTGCCGCGCAGCAAAGCGCCTCACCTTGGAGAGGGTGCCGTACAGCAAAGGGGCACATCTAGCACCAATGATTCTTTTTAAAACAACTTGGGGAGGGGTCTTGCCTAGCAGAAGGTGCCGCACAACAGATGGGGCACGCCTAGCACCAAGGGTTCTTTATAAAAAATCAACTTGGGGAGGGCCATTGCCTAACAAAGGGTGCCACACAGCAGATGGGCCACGTCTAACACCAAGGATTCTTTTTAAATGAACTTGGGGAGGGGTCTTGCCTAGCAGAAGGTGCCGTTCAGCAGATGGGGCACGTCAAGCACCAAGGATTTGGTTTATCCAACTTGGGGAAGGCCATTGCCCAACAAAGGGTGCCACACAGCAGATGGGGCACGTCTAGGATTCTTTTTAAATCAACTCGGGGAGGGGTCTTGCCTAGCACAGGGTGTCGAGAAGCAGATGGGGCACGTCTAGCACCAAGGATTCTTCATAAAGCAACTCGGGGAGGGCCATTGCCTACCAGAAGGTGCCACACAGCAGATGGGGCACGTCTAGCACCAAGAATTAATGCATTTTTAATCAACTTGGGGGTGGGTCTTGCCTAGCAGAGGGTGCCGCACAGCAA